GATGGTTTACACATTATATTTCATATTTTGAATAACTTAGTGTTTTAAAATATAATTTGTGAGATTAATTAATTATTAAATTAAAGTCAACGTCCTCTGCATCCGTGCCTTTTGAGCACCTGTTCTTAGGGCAAAGTTTTTCTTCAGTAAAAATCATTCTTAAACCCTCAAACTTATCCCAAAATAGCATTTAAGCCTCTAAACTAAAAATGAAGTAAATAAGCCTTCAACTCTACGAATAATGCAAAAAAGCTCTTCTCACAAATGGGCCAAACGGTGAGATTCACGGTGGACTAACTGCGTTTCTTTTTTTCACTTCCACTAATCCACATAGATATATATATGCTGATGTGGCACCTTCTATGTACACATATATGTTGAGGTGCATAAAAAAAAGAAAAAGCTAAATTCATGTGCTATGTTAAAAAACTAAAATAAAAAAAATTCTCTATTTAAGCCCTACTTAGGTCTTCAGCCTCATTTGTGCCCCTTTTCTACAAAAATCTTCCACCTCTTTTGTTAGAAATTGAAATTAACATAGCGTTTTTGCTCCATGTATCGCGTGGACAGGTTCTGCTCCAGGGTATTGATGTCGGTGGCTAAATTCCAAGCCAGCTGCAAACCCTATTAGTGTGTTCATCTAGTGTGAAGGCAAAGATGGAGGAGGTGGAGGCGGAGGCAGAGGCGGAGCTGGAAGCGGAGACAAAGGTGGAGCCAGAGCCGGAGTCAAAGGTGGGATCGAGATCGGAGGTTATGAGAGGTGACTTTAGGGGATCGTGTCTTAAACTATTTTAAATTGGCATTTTCTTACTTTAAATTGATTGAAGCAAAGGCTGGGAGGATATGTTAGTTTCCATGGGTGCTAATGTTATGGGATTAGTTTCCTTAAATTTGATATGTTAAATGGTGTTGATTTTATTTTCTTTTTTCCATATTTATCATTTATTGAAATTTTCCTACTCTGTTTTTTCTTTTTCAGCAAAAGAGCAAATATAATGCCTTTGACTAGAATGATGTAATTTGGAATTTACAACTAAAAGTTGAGTGTTTGAATAAGGAAGTGGGGGAACTTGAAAGAGATAAATTTATTGATGTTGAGAAAGCTAATGAGAAGCTAATGGATCGTGTAAGGTTTGAATGGAAGAATCAAGTTGGAAAGCTGCAAATGAATTTCTCAATTGTGCTTGTGCTTGTAAATTCAAAATTTAGTTTATAGCATTTGGTAGAGTTATGTTATGGACGTTAGAAAATGCCATGAATTTCAAACTTTAGATTCTTTGTCTTCTTTTGCTATGTATGAATCATGAACAATGTATGTAATATTTTCAACTTTTGACAATGAAAAGCAGATGTAATTATTTTACAATTGAACTCCAGGTTTTGGTCTTTTTATTTTTGGTTCAAACTCCAGATTCTTTGTCTTGTTTTTATTTGAGCAAAATCCATCGAGGTTCTGTTTTCTTCTTATGTATACATATACAAATGTATCCAATTTCTTGTCTTCCTTTTTATTTGAGCCATCCAGGTTCTATTCTCTTTTTATTTATATACATATACAAATATATCCAAGTTCCTATCTTCTTTTTTATTTGAGTGAAATCTGTCCAAGTCCCTAAACAAGCAACCTAAAAATTCCTCAAAAATCAAATGAATACTTTTTTTTTACAGCACTTACTTCAACATGAATTACCATTTAAATAAAAAACCTGTGATCATCAACAAACTATCCAACATCAATAGGCCACTTTTAATTTCCCATCAACCAATTACCTAAATAACATGTAGTCATCTGGATATGTCCACATATAAAAACAAGTTAATCCACATCAAGATACTAAAATATCAAACATAGATAAGTTTCGCAAAAGATAAAAGGCATATTTATCTATCTCAAAACCTAGCCCAATAGTTGTCCTCATTGTTAAGACTCATGTCATCTCCAGATGGGGGCACAACAAATATGTTTCCCCAGTCCAATGATGCAGCATCACAGTTGGTTTGTTGAGCACTACTTCTTTGTTGAGCACTACTTCTTTGTTGAGAAGGCATAACAAATAAATTTCTTTGGTCCAAAGATGCAGCAGAATTGTTGGCTTGCTGAGCATTGCTTATTTGCTTATAGACAGTTGGCATGGCTATTGCAGTAGTGCCTTTTCTAATGGCATACTCAAAAGGCCACCCAGGCTATAAACAATAAATTTGATTAAACCAATGAAGTCTAATTCAACCAATAAAGTCTAATACCTAAATATAACTTTTTAAGTAAATAAACTAATATCTTACTTACATTCCATGTCATTGCAACCGTGTACTCCTTCACCTTAATGCCTATGCCTAATTGCTTTCCTTTCTTGACTTTTTGTTTTCTATTGATAGTCACCTTTGCTTTTCCCTTGTCTTTTACAATAGAAGGTTGCTATGCTGAAGAAGATGTATGACCATAGGAAAAAACCTGCAAATGCACAATTTAATATTATCCATCAGATTCAATATAACTACAATTTAAAGGGCATGTCATTCAAAATGCAACTTACATTTGAATTGTTAATTGATGTCTGTAAAGGATTAATTGATGTTGGAACCTCTGCTATGTTTCTTGAAGCTTTAACCTAATTTACTTATTTAATTAAATGATAGTTATAGATAAATTTAACTTCATATATTTAAAAGTACTTACAATTTTAGCCTTCTTATGATATGTAGCAGAAGGCCTTCTCTTTTTACCATGAGATGATGATGCACCAATTGTATTGGTCTGTTTCCAAATAAAATGGAATCAATTGGTGTTCACAGGAAACCATACCTCATTAGTTAAAAGGACATCTATTAAAACCATACCTCATTATTTGAAATACATGGACATCCTGCCCTATTGTGTCCTTCTTGTTTGCAGTGGGAACATGTCATTATCCTCCCTTTCCTTGAGATTTTAACTACCTTGGATATTTTCTTAGGCTCATCTTTTGACTTCCTCCTATTTTTCTTAGG